GACACCTGCTGGTGTCCAGTCTCTGGCTGCTCTGCTCATGGAGCTCCAGCCCGGTGCTGATGGGCCTCAGACCCTGGCAGCAGATGCCTTGTACCAGCTTGGCCGGGTGGAGGAGGCCTACAGGCTGCTGTTGTCTGTGGGGGCACCCAATCCTCGGGCGCCTTTTCTGGCTCGCCTCGCCCTCCTGCAGCTGCACAGAGGGTTCCTTTACGACACTAACCAGGTACAGCTGTTTGTGAATCTGAAGTGTATTTACAGCTAATCAGGATCTTTATTGTCCACAATAGATTATTACAATTCTTACTTTAATGCAACAATTTGACACATTTGAAACTTGATCTCATAATTTTATTGATAACGTCTTCTGTACATACAGCGTTGTATCAGGGAACATCTGATCATCTCATATTTACAAATGCTTATCTAGAAACTGCACATGATTTAGTTAAAATAAGGATTCAGAATAATTCATTTCACCTCTACTTTGATGACTTAGGTTGAGATGATGCAGGCTTTGTTAATCCTGCTAATTCAGTCAGATTTGTCATTTCCACTACAATTCAGGCTTTAAATCTTAAAAAAAAAAATCACTAGCCAAAATTTAAAAAACTAGTTAATTTAATGAATAATCTATATGTTGCATTAAGTAGTACCATATTTTTCGGACTATAAGACGCACTTAAAATCCTTTAACTTTCTGAAAAATTAACAGTGAGCCTTGTAATCAGGTAATTCTGGATGTGCTTATTGATCTCAAACTGATTTTATGTGGTACATCTGAAAAACAAGAGTTATTGTGAATGAGTTGAATAAAGTTTGACTTATCTGACTGTTTTGTTTCGCTTAATGCGCCTTATTACTCAAACAGATGTTTATTATTTTTGTTTCCTGAATTCACATCTTTTACAAAAAGAGAGAGATGTCAAATGTTTGATTCATTTTTTCTTCTGCAGCTGCTCAAAAAGCTAATTGTGTGCGGTGATACCAGCTGCCTGCGCAGCCTGTTGGCTGTGGCGCGAGAGAAAGACCGAGCGCTGCTGCAGGGACACTGCCACTCGGCTGCTAAACGCATCCTGGACGGCTCAAACGTCGAGAGCTCCATCAGGGAGGCTGTGGCTTACTTATCCATCGCAATTATGGCCTCTGGTGAATAATATTTGACCAACGAGCTCTTTGTGTTACGACTGGTCTAACAGAGAAGTGAAATACAGTCAAACTGATACAGTAATTGGATTTTTTTTAAAGGTGGCGATGCAGCAGATTCCCTCCTGGAGCGAGCGAGGTGTTATGTGTTGCTGGGTCAGCGAAAGACAGCCATGTTTGATTTCAGTGCCATTTTGAAGGAGAACCCAAAACACATGCAGGCCCTCTGTGGAAGAGGATTTACACACCTCATGCTGAATCAGCAAAAGGTATTCTTTAGTGGAACACTGTCAGCACATCCTCAGGCAACACCTATTTAAACTTGCTACAGCATTTGATGTTTGGAAGACTAACATGATCATAGTAAAACTGTTTAAAACTAAACAGCAAGAACAAACAACTTGAAAAAATAATCACAGACAAATTATTGTCAAGTGGTTGATGTAATTGTAGAAATGTTTGCAGAAACTGAGGCACACAGTGTGTTTGACAAACTTATTTTCTTGTATAGCTATTTTGGGTAGACACTTTGTAACAGTTTTATATTATTTTACAGTCTTTAATTAGTGAAAAACCAGATTTCCCTTTAAAAAGTTTTTTTTTTTCATTTTAGTCTCCATTACTCTGATTTAATAAAACACATTTAGATTCCTTCTAAATTTAAGCTACACCTGACAGCATTTGAGAAAAATTGCAGTTGAGTAGAAAAATAGTTGTCAGAGGTGACTGCAAATATTTGTCAACTGCTGAAGCTCACCAATATTTACGCACGCACAAAATTCTGTATGCCCTGTAAAGAATACACACCTTTACTTTCCTCTTCCTCCCGTTCAGGAGTGCATTCAGGATATCCTCACCGCACTTCAGATAAACACTGACCCTGTCATCAAAGAGATCCTGTCGCTCAAGGACAGGGCGCAGAAGCTGATCTGTGACTGGCTCCATCATTTCTGTCGCACAAACCTGTCAGATGCTGTGATCCCGAGTTTGGTTCCCTGCCACAAACAGCAGCTCAGAGACGCTTTTATAATCGGTGGAGCTTTGTTGATGACCGACAGCAGAGACCCACGGTGGCATCTTCTATATGTGGACATACTCTTAGCTGAAGGTTGGGCATCTTTTTCAAACTTTGCCGTGCTATTTATTTATTTTTTTAATCCTTGATGCTTTTAAACACTCTAATACATTCGTTGGTGCATTTACAACTCATTGAAACAATGCTCCGTTTCTTGTGAAAAGGGAGTCCATTAAAAGTAGGGGTGCACCGATTTATCAGCTCAGATTTCTTTAATTTGGGGAGATTGGCGATCGGCCGATACTTACATGAGAAACCGATTTTATCGATTGTTTTGACGTTTTAACATTGATCGTCTGAACTTCATTTATATTTCAGAGCACTACCTCATGGCCAGTTAAAACAAGTTTGTATTGGTTCTAGGATATTGTTCAAGGGTATGTTTTTCAATAAAATAATATTGGAAAATTGAAGGTGCATTGTGACCTTAAAACACCTGACAGTGTCGCTTATAAAACAAAATCAGAATCGACAGGTCAGGTTTTTTAGAGATATGTGATCGGCCAGAAAACTGCAATTGGTGCACCACTAATTAAAATCAATAGTGTAATGCATATCAGCATACCTTTAGTATGAGATAAACAAATGTGTGAAAAGATACAATTTCACAAAGATGTGCTTAAACAGTATGGACAGATTTGCTGGTATCCTAAAGGAAACTATTACCGGTAATTTGCTATATTGTTATGTTTCAAATTTAGTGTTTGACCTTAATCACAAGTGCCCTCAAGGTTTTTAATCAGCTTATTAATCCTACTTAAAGGGGACAAGCATGCTATTGGGTAGTTTAGTATTGTTGAGTGCACCACACTCAACATGGAGCAGAGGAAGTAAAGGTGACAGGTCTCTGAGCAGCTCTGAAAGAAAATTATAAATGTTAAAGCCAAAATCTACAAGATCATCTCCAAGCAGCTCCACCACAGCTGCTGAAACTTTTGAAAAGTGTAACGTCATGGGACAAACTCCCATGGGTGCAAGAGGAAATGGCGTTCCAGGTTTAACTAATGAATAGTGCGGAAGGTTGAAAAAGAGGCAATGAAACCATCCAAAACCATTCAAGCTAAACTTCATAGTCCAGTTGAATCACTTTCTGATTGCACCATTTGTCACATTTTGAGTAATAATAGCCTCCATTGACATAGATCAAGGACGGTTCCACTACTGACACCCCCCCCCCCCCACACACACACACACAAAAATCACCAATGCATGTCGACAAGCCCCAGTGTTTCTGGGAGAAGTTTTTGAGACTAATAAGATAAAACTTGAGTGTGACTGGTAAAATCAATTGTTTTTGTGATTTTTGTGGAAGAGTGCCAAAACGTATCTTGGTCTGTAGATAGGTGTTGATTAAGGCTGTGTGGAGTTGATAGAACTATTGCATCCAGTTCTTCCTAATAACAGTGATCCTAACTCCTTCTGTTCTGGTCCATGTAGGTGAATTTAAGGCTGCGGGCACCCATCTATGCCAAGTATTTGGCCAAGAACCAAGAGATGCAGTAGCTCAGGCTAGACTGGGAGTGGTGGAGGCCTGGCAGCAGAACTACTGCAGCGCCTCTCGTAGGCTCAGTAAAGTGCTTGAAAAAGATTCATCCAGCTTGGACTTTCTGCTGGCCCTAATCCCATCTGATCAGAGAAAATGCATTGCTCAGGTAAGCTTAAGTGCCAGGATCCCAAATGCAATACTGAACCATTGTCAGAGTTACCGGTGCTGGCTGAGAATAAATTAGTTTCATTTAAATTTTGATGAGCAGGTTTCATGTTTGAAATATTTTTGTATTTAAGTGCAGTGGGAACATGTAATTCAACAATTATTTTTACTTTTACCTTTTTGACTTTGCACTGTAAAAGGCAGCAGCACAAGAAGCCAGCAGTTTGTCCACAGGTGGTCAGTGGGATCAGGCCCTCACACTCCTGACCGTGGCAGTAAAAGCAGTGGGAAACCACAAACTGCAGTATCTTCGCCAACGGGCCGCCTGCTTTGCACAGCTCGGCTTCCATGAGCAGGCCATAGCTGACCTCGACAGAGTTATCCAGAGACACGGGGACTCCAGATGTTCAAACGACCCTAAAATCTGGGCAGAAGATCTGTGTCGGCGAGGTCGCAGCCTCGTGCTTTGTTCCAGAGAGGGAGCAGCTCTGGAGGACTTCAGCCAGGCCCTGAGTCTCCACAGGACGCAGGCCGTCCAGTGTGTGGAGGCTGGTCTGGGCAGGCTGCACCTGGCTGAGTGCTTTCTGCGAGGGGCGCAGCAGCACTACAGAGAGCAGCAGCTCAGCAAAGCGTGGACGATGATCGAATGCGGCCTCGCTGCGGACAGTGAAAACACAGAGCTGCGCAGACTGAGGGCCAGAGTCAAACGAGAAGCAACCAGCCCTTGCAACATCAATTAGCATCTGGCATTAAAGAATCAACAAACATGACCTCAAGCAAAGCCAATGAAGTGTAATCACGCAAGAAGAAAAGTCAAACTGATTCAAATCTTCCAAAGTTTTATAAAATAAATTGTGGTTCTTGAGAACACACTTCTTTGGTTCAGTCTTTGTGCACAGCAATGACTGTTAGCAACCAGTAACCTCATATTTATATAACTTGTCAGATAAGATGAATATGAATACTTAACAGTACATTTAGTCAATGTTTATAGTGTACACATAAATGATATATTAAAACTAAATACAAAATCTATAAGTTTTACACTATATGAGCTAAATCAACACTAATTATTTTATCTCAAACTATCAAACCTTGGTAAGAGTTTCAAGAAAGTGTCGAATGTGCAGGTTTTTTGCTTTAAAAATGCTAGAGGCATTTCTTTAATCATATTTATGGAGGCAAACACACAAAAGAATGATGAAGTACAGAAAAAAAAAAAAGAATTAGCTACTGGAATATAGTCTTTAAAATATAATGCCAGCAAGTCATTATTCCTGTCCCTGAAGTAGGAATCATACATTCAAGATCATGTTTTTACTGTTTGTCTAACACGGACATGTTCTTTGATATTAAGCTAACACAGTGATGTATTGTGGTTCCATGTTCCCGAAGTAGGACTTCTCCCACTCACTCATGAGGTCAAAGTGCAGCGGGCGGTCGCAGAAGGTGCAGGAAGCCGTGGCCGGGATGTTGAGTGGGAGACCCACCTCCTGCCACACCTCCACTAATTTACCTGTGAACAAAACAGAATGAAGGAAATGAAAAAAAAAAAAAAACCTGGGCTGCACAAACCAGTACCATATTTTTTGGACTATAAGGCGCATTAACCGAAACAAAACAGTCAGATAAGTCAAATTTTATTCAACTCATTCACAATAACCACATAAAATAGGTTTGAGGTCAGTAAGCACAACCAGAATTAATACATAAGGTGCACTGGATTATAAGGCTAACTGTCGATTTTTGAGAAAATTAAAGGATTTTAAGTTTGCCTTATAGGCTGAAAAATATGGTATTACAGTGTTGCTTCCAGGGAATAACTACAAAGTTTCATAAAAGGTGTTGGTATTTTGTGTTTCGTTATTTGACAAATGAGGAGATCAACAAAGATGATCACGAATTTCAAACTTAAATCACTTTAAGTGTTAACCTGACTTTATCAAACATTTACTTGCAGCACTCTGATCTTGTCGCAGTAAGAAGATTCCCACACTCACCCACAAAGTAGTCCATCATGTCAGGGTTGTGATGGGGAGAAGGAGCCAGACGCAGCAGCTCCTCACCACGAGGCACCGTGGGGTAGTTAATGGCCTGGACGTAGATGTTGTGTCTCTCCAGCAGGATGTCACACACCTTGGTGTTCAGCTCAGCGTTCCCAACCTGGAACATGGAACAAGAAAGTTCAGGTTGTGTTTGTTTGAATAGATACCTGATGTAATTTGCGGGGGGAAAATACCTCTTGGTAAAATATATATAGATATCTTGGACATTTAGATACATTTTCAAATTCATGGTGTTTAAATTTAAATGTGTAATGTGAGACGTCACAGAAAGAAGTGAGTATCACATTGTAGCAACAGGCCAACTTCAAAGAAACTAGTCAAAAATAATGACTTAAAGCTAAATTGGAGCCAGAAAATAGCTAATAAGATTGATATGTACTCAAATGTTTTATTTTTTGTTTGAGGCTTTTTATCCAGATAAGTTTCTTTATTAGATGGACAAAAAGCAAAATTATACATATTTACCAGACAAGAAAAGTAAAGATCCTAACGGCCAGAATTAGAATTATTAATACCAATTACATAAATGTGTTTACAGCTAAAGTACACTTTTATGCAGATGACACCATTCACTCTACTTTAAACTACTTTAAAATTGCCAAAAATGTCTAATAAAGTCTTCAGTAGCTGTTGAGTGCAGCTGCTATTTTTAAGTGGGACTTTCTAATGTTGGCTCTGACTTGTTTAGTTTATGCATTTTGATTTTTAGCTGGTAACTTTGCAACGATAGGCCATCTTGACCAGGCCTTAAAAAAAGACGTGCTAATCTTAAGGGACTTTTCTGTTAAATCCAGGATAAAATAAATAAATAAAAGGAATAACTAAAATTTAGACCAGATTATGTTTCTGTAATGAACTTCAGATCAAGACTCGGCCACATTTGTTCTAAGCTTTAAGAAACAAAACTATTGGTCAGTTTTAAAGTAAACACCATGGCCTGCAATGGTATCTGGGTGCAAATTTTGCTTTTTGTCATTTAGCTCTAATAAGATAACTAAACTGTACAATTTGAGCACGTGGTAACTTTCCTACCCGTATGGGGATGATGTGGCTGGGGCAGTTGACCACAGGCAGGCCTCTGTCCATCAGCAGCTGCCTCATGTGTTTGACATTCCTCTGGTGGGCTCTGCGCAGCACCTGGCCTTCAGGACTCTTCAGGACCCGGACAGACTCCAGGGCCCCAGACAGGACCATCGGGGGCAGAGCTGTGGTGAAGATGAAGCCGGCTGCGTAGGAACGCACTGTGTCCACCAGGGCGGCGCTGCTGGCAATGTAGCCCCCCACACAGCCGAAGGCCTTACCTGCAGCACAAATGTATTTGAACTGAGGTAAGATGGCACAATCAGTGACACATTTACTCAAGTAATAATGCAATAAAAAAATATATTTTATCCGCACCATTACTAAAATAGTTAAACATGTAAGGTAAAACATCTAAGGTTTTATAGTAATAGTGCTCATTGCCTGTTTGTTGTTTGATTGAGTATGTTGAGAATGATGAGTGTCACATCATTATACTGGAATAAAATCTTAAATCAAAGCTAAATATTACTGCTTTTTATTTTTTGGAGCTAAAACCTAAAACACTTCTTTAATCATAAAGTTTGAAATTTAATGAAACATTTTTATCATTGTTTCAATCCAAACTAAGCCCTACGACTTGATTAATGGGTTGTTCACAACAGAGCATTTAAAACCTAACAAGCTACATAAAAAAATGTTCTAAACATACAATTAGGCTTTATTTGTTCCTAAAAAACACATTGACACAGCTTTATCTAAATATGGAGAAGCTTGCGAGCTGAAAAATACACTTTCATGCATTTGAGATTGTTTTTTTTCATAATAATATTACTTATCCATCATGTGAGACATACACAAACTGGAGAGTTTATGAAGAAGATGTCCAGTGCAACATCAACTGTGTAGCACATTATTTTAAAAGAAATTTCATTCTTTTTCATACAAAAATAACAACAACCCTGAAATACTACTTTGTATTAACTTAAAAAAACTCCTAATTTTATAGCCTATATATACATATATGTTTAACTATTTAATCTAATATAAACCTTATTTCAAAACTTAAACCTCTCTCTGTTCTTGAGTTTTTTGTTTTTTTTTTCTTCTCAAAATGTAGTTGTAATTTTGGATTCATTCTCTGGGATTATTATCTTGCAGTTGTCTTTAAGTCACACACAGCACTGAAGTGCACGAGAGTTTTATCAGTGAGGCCAGAGAGGGAGGAGACCCGACACCCAGCTGATAAGACCTCTCCTCTGATGATAGCTCTTTCCTGTTTAGCAAATTGTAAGTTTAAAGGATTATTGCTGCTATTTTGGCTTCTTGACTGAGTTTGTACCCAAGTGACTTCACTTGAAAGGTGAGCCAAGAGGTAAAAGTCAAATTTTAAATATTAAAGTATTAAAGATGCACTTAAGTTTTTGACAAGTTGAATGACTTCTAAAATGTTGTAACAAAACAACAGGATCTGCTTTTAAACAAACTCACCCAAGGTCCCAGAAACAATATCAATCTTGTGCATGATGTTGTCTCTTTCACCCACTCCGGCTCCGTGGGCTCCATACAGACCCACAGCATGAACTTCATCAACAAACGTCAGGGCTCCGTAACGATGAGCCACATCGCACAGCTCTTCTAAAGGACATATACCTCCTGCAACCCCCCAGAGAAGAACAAGATGATCTACATTCAGCACATTCAGGACATTAAAGGTGAAAATGTCACTGCTGATCTGTTCTGTACTAAAACCCATACATGTTCTACACTTAAAAAAGATTGTCATAGTGAAACTAAATGACTTTTGTGTCTTAGCTGCAATAATAATTCAGTTAAGATGACTCGTACTGTGCTAGGAGTAAACTAATATCAGATAAATATACACTTGAGATGAGGAAACTACTCACTCATGTCAACAACGGTTAATAATAAAAAGAATCATTGCAGATTATAATATTGTCGGCTCAGAATGCTAATGTTTTGAAAATGATGACTGCTGTCGCAGTAACTATTAATAAAATAACATTTACGGGTTAAAATTAATCATTTTATATTGGTCAAAACTGTTTTCTATATCAGAAATAATTTAGTAATAATATATATTTATATATATATATATATATATATATAATTCCATAAATATCCATACATTAACTGATAGTGTGTCTGACATCATTTAAAGTTGTGCATATGTTTCTGATTTTTTTTCTTCAAAAAATTTTCTACATTGCAAAAAAGCTATTTTTTTTAGACTAAACACCAAACTAGAGTATTTTCAGAAACAACAAGCTTTGCTTGAGACTCTCCAAGGGAAAAAAGAAAAACAATCTGTTTTAAAGAATACATTTTAAATAGTTACAGCTATCAAATTTGCTGAATAAAAGACTAAGTCTGATCAGTGGTTCCCAGAATTCAAATAGCGGGCACATTCATCGCTGAAATCTTGAAATAAACTGTTTTAATCAAGCCCTGATAGTCAAACTATTGTAGAAAAGACTATAGCTGAGGCGCCATAGGATGCTTAGAGATCGCAAAGGCCATAATCAAGAAGGAACTAACATTTAATAATAATAATGTGTTCAATGAATGTAATTTTGAGCATTCTAAATCTTTCTGCATCACCTTTATGTGTTGATTGAACAGTTGAACATTTTCGGCTCTGCCACGTTTGCATAATTTAGAATTAATTTTATTTCAATAGAAAAAAAAAACCCTCTCACCGTCCATTGAGTGCACAGTCTCAAACGCCACTATTTTAGGTGTCTTTGGGTCTGAATGTTGCAGCAGTTCCTCCAAGTGTCGACTGTCGTTGTGGCGGAAAATGAAGCGTTTGGCTCCACCATTTCTGATCCCCTGAATCATCGACGCATGGTTCCCTGCATCAGAGTAGATCTCACAGCCTGTAATACAGAGAGAACATTTAATGAACCATGGACATGACTTCTGTCTATCAGGCTTAAGATAAAATACATTTTTTATTTTTGTTTTTCCCTTTATGATTTATTATTTGGCTAGGCACAATCAAAAGCAGGTGCAGAACATCTAATAATGCTGTTTCTAATACCGTTCAAGGATTGCCATCACCTGAGTTACCAATATGACTCATGTTTGTTATTTCATTCAGTAATTACCAGGAAGCATTTTAGCCAGAGTGAAGAGGGTTGAGTCATTTGCCACAAAGCAGGAGGAGAACACTAAAGCTGCGTCTTTCTGGTGCAGCTGAGCGAGCTCCTTCTCCAGAGACACGTGATAGTTACTGGTACCAGAGATGTTCCTGGTGCCACCTGCTCCTGCACCGTGCTTCTCCAGGGCATCGCTACAGACAACAAGAAAACACGTTTGACACAGATCATCTATACAAAGAAAAGCTTCAAGCAAACGTTTCTGCAATTTCTATAAATATAGGGATTTAACTGCCATAGTTTTGGTCTTGGTTTCCATATTGGAAAAAAAAACAACCTTTTGTTTTACTGTGGGTTAGGGTAGAGCTGTCTTAGTTGCATTGTTTTGCGATTGTCACACAGTTCTTTGCTATCGCACCCCCCACTTGATGGTTTCTTAATCATCCTGCTCGTCGTTCATTTACTGTACCTCTCTGTATATAGACTCCCTCGTTTCCTTTTTGCTTCGCTTCAGTTATCATAGACTTGCTTTTGATCCTGAGCTTGCCCTAGCATGTGGCTTCATTTAACGACAATCCGTGACACAAACTGAAACTGCAATAAGGTCAGTAGAATGTAATGTACCTACAGCTTCCCTGAAACACCAACGAATCACTGCAGCTAAAAGTTATTGTACTGTACTATGCAAACGTCCTTTCAGCATTATGTTGATGTTTAGCAGGCACGATGCTAAGTGTTTGTTCGCACAATGCTATCTTGCTAACGTTTCACAAAATTAAAAAGTCATAGGATTCTCAGATTTGCACTCATTTGCTAAACATGGCAACTTTCAGTTAAGGTCTCATGAGCACAGACTTGAAAGTTTGGGAAGTTCAAATCTGAGCTGGCCTTTCCTGTACTGTAAACTAAAAACTGGCGTTAAAGAGCTTTGCCTTGTGCAATACAAAAGGTTTTTGCCAGGGAGATCATTTATGAGCATGTGCTGACTTCAAACTGTAAAGATCTTCTTTCTGATGCTTCTGCAGGAAATTTCAAACTATTGTTTAAACTAAGGTTTATTTTTATGTGGAGTACAATTTTTTTTTTTTCAAGTTTAGCAATTATACAACTGTGATGAACTTGTGATCTGTCCAGGGTGTACCCCGCCTTTTGCACAGTGATGGCTGGATATGGGCACCAGAGAATGGGCACCAGTGACCCTCGCAACACGGAAAAGAAGGAGCGGGTAAAGATAACGGATGGACTACACGACAAGCAATGAAACAGCAGCCCAAATATCATTTTGAACCATTCTAGAGCCAGTTTGCAGTATCTTGTAAAGCCCCTTTGTTGTCCAGTTCATCCCTGGTGATCTTTTCATACAAGACCTCTTCACTAAAAGATCTTTATCTTGTCTGTCTAAAAGCATTATTTGCAGATTTTAGATCTAAAACAGCCAAAGAGCTTAACTGACATTCAAAATGTATAAACATGTTTGAGCATTGCCTGATGGCACTGAGGACTCTCGGGTGGCGGCTCATTCCCAGATAGTCGTTGCTGCACCACACTGACACCTGGGAGCCCTCTCTCCCAGTAATGGAGTAATCCTCAGCGAATGGGAAGGCCGTGGCGCTCCTGTTCACCGTCTTGAAGACTCTGTATGTGTGATCCTTCTTTTTCTCAGCAATCTTCTCAATGAAGAAGCGATCGTAGTCATAACTGGGGCCAACTGCAGTAAAAATCGCATTGAGATTAAATTTAGTTACAGAACTCCAAAGCATCAGGTGTATAGGTTTATATTATATAAGCAATATGGTCTCTTTGTTATGATAGCAAACTTTACCCATGTTGTCCTTGAGGAGGTGGGTGGCACCGCTGGCTTGCTCTGATGTTGGAAACACAGAATCTTTGAAGCCTTTTAACAGAGTTGTCATCAAACCTGGGAAAAGGTAAGAAACTGCTCGGTGAGTGGAAACTACTGCTACATATAAATAATACTTGTGCCTTTGTGATGATTGAAAATACAGTTGGGAGCTGGTGACTCCATTTTTGTACCATCGTGGACGTCCTCCTGTACTTCAGGGCTAGCCTGGATCATCCCAATCTGCGAGGTGACGAAAGGGCAGCCCTTCGATGAAGACACAGCCACCTGGGTGGCAGTTTGAGCAAACAGCCTCTTCTGGTCCACCGTGGGACGGTGGGGACTTTGGGTTTTGGTGGGTGAAGAGGTGAGCTGCGCCTCCAGGCAGGCTGTGCCGCTCACGCTGATCTGACGAGCGATGATGGGACATTGGTCAGCCATAGACAGCAGGGCAGCTCCTGTTCTTCTTAAAGCTGGCTTTGGGACTGACCTCAGAAAAGGGCAGTGATGGAGGAAGGCAGCCATGATGAAGCTGTTCTTATCCTGAGTTTAAAAACAGGGGACATGGAATTGTTTTTTAAGGGGGTATAAATTTATCCTTACTGACAAAAAACAAACTAAAACATCATCCTGTGAAGACGGTTATGACTAAACTTGTTAGTACAAGTGGGGCCGCTGTGGCCGAGTGGTTTGAGCAGTCATCCTCCAATGGGAGCAGTGGTGCAGTCTACGTGATACGCGGGTATATGGAGTATACCCACTAGAAAAGCTTGAGAATTTTATTATACCCACTTAACCACCCACTTACCCACCTATACCCACTTTGTTCCATAATTGCGCCACTCGGGGTGGCTGCATGCTGGAGTAGTTTTGTTACAGTAATTCTGAGTTACTGCTTTTGAAAACTTTATTTGCTCTTTTTTCTGGATGTAAATCACTTTTTTTGAATGATTACTTCCTCTAGTATTAGATGCTCTACAGCTGGAAGAATTTTTACTGAAACCTTTTTATGTTTGGGCATTTGTTATGATGCATAACCATGGCAACAAGGTGTTTTTTAACAACCAGGAGCAGCTGATTACCATCTCAAAAGCTCAAATACTTCAACTACAGTCCCAAATTCCAAATGAGTTGAAAAGGAGGCGCCATAGACAAATTCCCATCAACCTGGCAGTAGTGCTTGAGTACCTGAAAGGCGCTATATAAGTACAGTCCATTTAGTACACATGGTTCAGTTTAGCGTCAGTGAACATAGCATCTGTATTCGAGGGCGTGTCATATGCCTGCAGCTTATCTTTACTCTGCAGGAGCTTAAGAGTCGTCCTGACAGACATCACCAGCTGATTACTGCAACAACCACCTGATTACTGCAACAACCACCAAATAGTCTTCAGAGCACTGACTCTTATTTTCCCATTTATTGTTAAAATATTGTGAGCGGACAAAAAACCCCCAAAAAACATGGCCAACACATTATTCTGCAATTTCACGACACATCCATAAATAAACAGTCACTGATGGTTTATTTTGCTGATCAGCATCTTTGTGTTAGTGAGGTTTTAAAAAAGGCTTATTTTTCACTATCTGTTGTGGTTAGCCATGTAAAGCAATTCTAAAGATACGTGGCTTCTCTTGAGGTTGGGCGTTTTCTTTTTTGAGGCTCAGTCTCTTAAGCTCAACTTAAACGTTACAATTATTTTTATTTTGACATGATTTTGTTAGGATGAGTGCATAAAATGTACTCAATTACTGGGAAGACTTCAAGCACAAAGCATAAAATTGACCTCAAGCTGAAACTGAGTGAAAATACAAAGAATAAATGAATAAATCTAGTTTCAATAACCTTTCAGCTTCTTTAAAAGTCAGAGTAATGTTAGAAAATGTGATAATAATGACAGGGAGGCTCACCTGTTGACCTGCACTGAGGACGAACTTCAGAACAGCAGACAGACAGAAGGTCAGGAGGTGTCAGCTCTTAATTGTCTGATGTTGGTGAGAATTATGCAATCGTTGCCCCCCACCCCTCGTGACGTGTGGAGCCCAACCTGGTGGGGGGAGTGGGGGCATGAAGGGAGTTGTTTGCGTTTCTGTGGGAGGTTCAATTATAGTGATAAGGTTCATTTAAAGTCCTTTAATTCCTCCTTAACAATAAAAACAACAACAATAATAGTAATAATAATAAAAATGATAATAGCTATTTTTATTACCAGTATATTTTCTTGGTTTTAGGGAAAAATAAAGTTTGCTTAAACATAAATAGGTTTTCTGTACATCTGCTGTAAAACAAACAGACAAACAAGCAAAAATAAGTTGTAATATCTGAGGCTTACCCATCATCAAATTCACTTGTCACCAGAGAGGAATAACATGCTCGTCATATCAAATGAACTTTAATCATTTCTTCAATTTTTTTGTAACTTTTAGAACATAATTTTACCTTATTTCCAATTTTATTTTGAAATAATTCCCTTTCGATCATGTTTTACGCTTGTAATATCATAAAGGTTTTGAGGACGTTTCTTAAAATTTTCTTTTCCTCAACAACAAAAAGAATAAAAGTTTCAGCTTCATAACAACCTTTATTGTTCAGACAAGAGTTACATTTATCACATAAATTACTCAATTTCTTATAGTTTGTACCTATAAGTTTGACAAAGCTTCACCTCAGTCAGACCACATAAGCTCGTTTTATTGCACAGTATTAGTTCAGTAACTTATTTTTTTATAATACATATTGACAGTGGGGGTTGCTCTCTATTTTCACCTCCATCCTGTCAGTCTGACAGCCACCAGCAGATGGCGCTCTGCTTGGCTCTGATCACCGGTGTCGTGTGAAGGAGGAGTTTTCATCCATTTATTCATTTATTTTCTGCCTCTTGACGTGCAGCAGCAGAGTTCATCTCCTCCTGCCTGGATCACACAGGACAAGCCTCCTCCTCCTCCTCCTCCTCATCCTCCACAGTCCTCCTTCACAAGGACAGCATCTCCAGGAGGAGCAAAACCCGACAACCGTTTCTGCAATAATAATATTAGCAATAATATTAATAATTAAAACCACAAAAGCCGAGCGACAGCAGCAAGATGTTGGCCTGCACGGAGCTGATCACCATGTGTCTCCAGTCGTCCAAACACGAACACTGGAGGAAGCAGCAGGAGCTGGACCACAACCAGAACCAAGACATCTGCCTCTTCCAGGATGTGAGTATGCGCTGTGACGTCACTACCAGTGAATAATGATTTTAATTCATCTGTCCCACATATTTTACTTCATACTGGGCATGATTCAGACATGTCCTGCCTTTGTGTGTGCATATATTGGGGGATGGGGGGGGGGGGGGTCGAGCTGTCCTTCTCTCCCCTCTTTATGAATGGGTTCAGACTGAGTTAAAACATTCAGGCTTATGTAAGAAAGGTGAGAGCAATAATGCGTCCTAGAAAGAGGACATAGCCATCTGACGTGCAGAGGAATTGACCTGCAAACACAAATGTTGCCTTCACAATGTGTAAAGACGAGATTTTTGATGAGCATCCTCCAAATGAGCTCCATTTTTCACCTTTGAATTATTTATTGAGGACTTTGCAGCTTGGCACCACCTGAAATGTTCTTGGTCTCCTTTTTATTTGTTCCAATTTTGCAGATGTCCCCTTCACAGACAACGATCAGGACAAACCTGCGGTTACACATTTCATGTTGATGCGTTGTGTTTGAAGCGGTCGTGTCAGTTTTTCTTTTTGTAATTATTTCTCAAAGATGCACCATAAAAGTGTGTCTTAGAAGCATAGACTCCGAGCTTGAGACTCCCTAACAGCTGGCTGTAAATGTAATTCTGTTTTTTTTTTTTTTTTTTTTTTTTAATAAAAGGGAAATTATCCATTCCCCACAGTCCATGATGCATAAAACTTCTTCACTGCAGCTATGAAAGTCAGATATTTTCCTTTAGTTTCATAGATTTCTTACTCAAAGACGTCTTATCTGACTTCGCTGTTGCGATCTCTTTCCATACCCACTCTAAAAATAATGCCATCGAGCTGCCCTGAATAGATTTCCAATATCAAATCATGCTGACACTCTCACTTGTGTTCACCGGTAGCTGAGACTAATTTGTGTTTTTTACTCTCTGCACACCTCCCAGACTGATAAGGAGATATCTGAGTCAATCTCTGTGGAAAAAAAGGTGTTTGTTTCTTTCCATTCATTTATTTTAACCTACTCACGGTGCAAACCCTCCTCGTCCCTGGGAAATACTAATAAATGGGATGATAATGTGCTTCAGCGTTGTGCATGTCTGAGGTGCCTTAAAAGCTCAGTGAGTTGCACTAAGTGCCATTTATGTGTCTCAGATGACTCTGTGATTAATTAGCACATCACAAGTTCAGAATTAGATTTTTTTAAATTTAAAGCCTTACCGCACCTTCTTAGCTTTCAATGGCAATTTGGACATGAACTCCATCAACGTTTCACCCACGATACCAACAAACATAACAAAACACCTGCATATCTTCATTATTGTGCGAATGCTTATGAAACATTCACTCTACTGTGATCCATTTTTCTTCCGTACATTTTCCGGTATCTTTCTCGTTTCACAGTTTTTGTGCTATATCAACTAATCATATATCAAAACATTCAGCTTGTTCAGGAGACGTGCGCTGTGACTTTTGGTATTGGTGCAACTTTAGCTTTTTAAATATTTAGCTTTTTCTGCCATTTTTTTCTCACAAAATAAATTGAGTTCATTTTACCTCCTTCATATCTTTAGATCTGTTTACAGCCTTTTACTGCTCCTTTCACATTTTGTTCTAGTTCAGCTTCTTTCAACTTTCTTGTGCAAATATAAACTTTTTTCAGCTACTTTCAGCCAATTTCAGCTGTTTTTTCAGCTGGTTTGTGCTCCTTTCAGATTCTTTCTGCTAACTACAATATTTTTGTACTTTTTAAAAACTTTTTTCAGCTAATTTCAGCTTGTGCTCCTGCAAGTTTATTTCTGCATGTTTCAGCTTTCGCAGCTATTTCAGCTACTATTTAGCTGTTTTTATGCTAATTTGAGCTATTTCAGCTAATTCCACTTTTTTTTGCACTCATTTAAACTTTTTTCATCCCAATTCACTTCCTTCTGGTAATTTAAGCTTCTTTCTGCTATTTTAGCTACTGTTCAGCTGTTTTTTTTTTGGTGATATTTTTTGCCTTTTTCAGGTAATTTCCTCTGTTTTGTGCTCATTTCTGCTTCTTTCAGTCTAATTGGGCATACATGTTCTTTCTGCTTTCTTCTGCTAATTTATACTTGTTCTACCTTTTCATCTACATTTTTTAGCACTTTTTAGCCAATTTCAGACGTTTTCAGATAGATTCAAGTTACTTTCAACCTAATTAACTTCTTTATGCTAATTTCAGTTTGTTATGCTTTCAGCTTTTTTCTACCAGTTTCAGCTTTTTCTGCTATTTCAGCTATTATTCAGCTGTTTTATGCTAAATTTAGCCTTTTCAGCTAACTCCACATTTTTTTAGCTCATTTCAGCACCTTCTACTTGATTCTGATAGTTAAAGCTACCTTCTGCCTTTTCAGATACTTTTCAGCAAATTCTTGCTAATTTCAGCCTTTTGCTATTTTTTGTGCTCATTTCTGCTTATTTAAACCCAATTCAGCAAATATATTTTTTTCTGCTTTCTTCTGCTAAGGCTTGTTCTTCCATTTCATCTCCATTTCAGCATTTTTTAGCTAATTCCAGCTGTTTTTCAGCAAGTTCTTCTGCAATAAGCATTCACACTGCATTTTTGCAGGAAATTCAATTTCTCTAGTTATTGTAGATTCTCAGCCATCCAGGACATGGAACATCAAAAGGATGTATTGGACATTCATTTTGTAGTTGAAGATGTTTCACTGAGATCTTTCTCAATCTGAAATATTGATTTTGACACTCTCCAGTGTCCCAGTTGTTTCCTTTGTTATTCATTTATTTTTAGGATTCATTTTTTATTTTTTATTTCATTTACTCTTTATTTATCCAGGTAGTCTCATTGAGCCACGAGAACTCATTTTCTAGAGCTCAGCTTGTATTTAATCATTAGGAGCTCCCTGCTGCCTTCCTGCGAGCCGTCTCGGGCAGGATCAGGTCTCAGAGCTTCTGCTGTGAGATTTGACAGTGATAGCTCTTCCTACCTGCCGCCGACTGCCAGCTTGTCAGCTCGTCACCTCACAGATGGCTAAAAGCAGCAGCAGCTCTTCTGCAAAGTTTAGTCTGAGTCCATCACAGTGACAGAGACTTACTGCCGGAGTTTAGATGCTGTTCGTTATATTGACGTTATTAGAACTAAAATAGAGAAAATGATGACGCAGTCAGTGAAATCTGTCTTTTGACTTTCTTTGTTGTGTGTTCTTTTTTCTTGACAGCAATTAGACAAAACATGAAAATAATTGTACAGAAATAAAGGAAGAGTTATAAAAGATCGTAAAGCAGTTATCAATGGTAAAATTTAAACTAAAAACTTTAAACTTAAAAAAAAAATATATCTATAAAATTAGATATAAATATAGATTTTTCTATATAGTTGACTATAAATAATTAACATCCCAGTTATTTATAAGACTGAGTTTGTTGTGGCTCCTCGGACTGATGAAACGTTTCAACAAAAAGAAACTGTCCAGAGGACCTGACTTAACTTTGTTGGAACATTTATTACACTTTTCTAGCAGGAGATAAAAACAAGATCAGTGATTTGGAAATATGGCGTTTTCTGGATTATAACTCAGTTTTAAAATGCCTATTAAGAAAAAAATGTTAAAAAACTGTTTAAGACCACAACATAAAAGGTTAAATCGTGTCATCTGGACCAGTTTCTTTAAGTGAGAAACGTTTTATCCCCCATCCAGAGGACTTCATCAGTCAGTGGCCTGCCATATAGATTTGTCCCATAGGTAGCCTTCACTGCTACCTATGGGAACCTCAAGGTTGGCTTGAAACACAGCAGTGAAGGCTACTTATAGATCTGGTTGGCTGGCTGTAGACTGAGGAAGTCCTCTGGATGTGGTATGAAACGTTTCTCACTTAAATAAACTGGTCCAGATGACATGATTTAACCTTTTTTGTTGTTATCTACCTGGATGATTGAGCTTACAAACCTTTTTTTAACGACCAGATTCTCCTGGATTTTTTTTACCATATTAATCACATATGATATATTTTTAAAGACAGGCAGATTTTTTTTAGACATTTACTCAATTCTAGTTAAAATAAAACAACTGAAGTAGATTTTCTTTTATGTTACAATCAGTTTTGTGGCATTTCAAGCATTTCATGTTAGAGTACATTGCAGAAAAAAAAAAAACCTCTTACATAATTCAGTGCTTAAAATAGATGACTGCTGTG